GGGGGGGAAGCGGGAACTTTCCTCCCCTTCCCCCATCTGATTACATACAAAATGTTCTTCTGCTTTTAAGGGCAATTTAACACTAGTTAAACTATCGTTAATTTAAATCAAACAAGTCTGAAAAGATAGAACATGCTGCACTGCTATTAAAAACAGCTGAATCTTCATTTGTTCCATCCAAGACACTACTGCCCATTTCCTAGCCAATGCGGTCTGGCTGCCCAAAGACTTTTCTGTAGTTCGTAAAATGACATTTAAGCCTACTTTGTTGGCTTTTGCAACACAGCGTGGTCCCCTTTGGGATCAGAGCGAAAGATTCAAACCTTTCTGTCACACTGGTTTTTCTTGCAAAATACGGGAGAAAGTCAGAAAAAAGACATGAGGACCAAACTGATTAATACCAATTAATCTGACATCAAATTCATCCCATTTCCAAGAGCAAAAATAGGTGATCCTCCAGCACTGAAGTACAAAATAGCTTAAAGGGGGCGGGGGGAAGCTTTGCTCTACTGTGTTTCACAGACCTGTCCTCAACAACATCCCGAGATGCCGCGACCCAACCAGGCCAGAACAGATGCTCCTGCCCAGCAGCTCCGTTGCCGCGCTGGCAGTTATAAACCGATTTTTCCCCTTCCCTCTACCACCCGGACAGTAAAGCTAGCCCACGGGAATCGGGAGCAGCACAGAAAGCACAGGCGGGGGTCCAGATAGTCCCTACGTTTACATGTTTTCCCCAAATAATACACACCAACATGTAGCTTTACAAGTCTGCGGCTTCTGTACAGACATCTTTGTCCTGACCAGAATAGTTGCAAGAGTTTCATTTGCAGGAGTTTGCTAGAAGACTGCAGCTCCAGATTAAATTTGGTCTGGAATTAAGACACTGGACCTAGGCAGGGAATAGAAGCAGCTTCAATTCCCTGCCTAGAATTATTCCCTTTCTTGAATTATTTCTCTTCGATTGCTCTCGCTCCTTGCGCGGGCTGATCACAGGTCACTTTGTGATGGGTCCCACAAAGCTCAGGTCCAACCTCAGCTCGACGCTCGTAAGAGAGCAGGAGAGGGGCTTTAGTCGGAGCCTAACGAAGGCTGCGTAGAAGCCAGTTGGGTGAAACACTTGCTGACATCTTTGTTATTAGACGCAAGACTTCGGGCCCTCCCCTGCTTGTTATTCATGCGGAAGAGGACTGCGTGAGGCACGCCGATTCCAATTTAAGAGGAAAGGCAGCTCCCGCTGTTTGGGATTACTCCTTTGCCTGTTGCTTCCTTAAAACACTTGCAGAAATAACGCAACATCTAGCTCTCCTGCGTTGCTCCACTAAGTTCTTTTTATGGGCCACTGGCTTCTACCTCAGAAAAGTCACTTCTGAGTATCTCAAATAACAAATGAATCCTCAATGTTCAGCAACAGAGAACGGATTTTATTTTATAGCTGGAGGAACAAAGTCCAAAGAGAACTCTTGCCCCAGGCATCCCCACTATAATTAGGCTTCCTCTGACTTCCCACCATTTATTCCTTCCTTAAGAAAATTCATCTCTCCCCCTCCAAAATACACATCATTTTAATTACTTGAGAAAGGGGGAGAGGTTTTAGGGATAAGAAAAACCTACGAGATCTTTAAATAGAAGCAATCAAATAGAGGCAGAAACAGCCCAAAATATGAACTATTCTAGAATTCTCTTCCCCAGGATCTGTCCGGGACACCAATGTAAAGAACCAGCCTCTGTACTCTCGAGTATCTTTCACCTCAATACACACACAAAACAAACCCAAAGAATCCCCACAAAACAACAAAAGAAAAGCAAACCAACCGACCAGCCAGGCTTCATATAGTCTCCTCTAGAGCACAAGCCACAGCCATTCAAAAAAGCTTACACAGTATTTATTAAAAATATTACCTTCTATTAACTATTAGTGATGTAAAAGTGATGTCACTGAACTCCAGATGTCACTGCCGAAGGTGCTATCAGGTGTCCCTGAGGGACTAATTCCTCATGAGATAAACGGATACATTCCAAGGGAAGCTGCCTGAAAATCATCAGCCTTCCTGAGACTTACAGCATTTTTGAGGTATAAATACAAGATTAATCAAAACATCTATAACCCAGAAGGCAAGGGTTGGACTTCTAACACTTCAAATGCCCCAATCACCAAGGATCAGCACTTTAGCAGGAGAATACTAAATAAATCCATGCTCGAGCTAAGGTTCTTTACTAACCTTTACCGGATTTCCCTTGATGTCATCCACGCCCTGCTTCAGACCATGCCAGAACACACGGCACCCAAACCAGTCGCCACAACTCTACTCCGCTCAGCCCCCCTTTTGCGCCTGCCTCCTACCACCTTCCTTTCAAGCACCCTTGCTCTTGAAGGGAGTGAGACATGATGCCCACACACCCTCTACCACATGCCTCATGATTTTATAACCTTGCTTTCATGAGCCAAAATCCATCCAATGGATTAAGGGCTTTGATGTATCCTTATTACAAGACTTTTTCTGAGACATGTTTTATCAAGTGCTATCCCTCTGCTTTTAATGATTAGCAAGAGTGAATTAAGCAGGGCAGCGGCACTGACCTCTAGCTTTTGTGTACTTACCTAGTGCTGCAGTAGTGTTCAACGCCAGCTGCAATTCTGGCATGGAAGTCTACTTACTGCAGTTCTGGGAGGCTCTTGGCAAGTGCCCAAGTCTAAGTTGATCAAACTCGGAATTTCTGGAGAGACCAGGAGGAGACGGGCCAGTTATTCTTGAGTACGTGTCACTGAGAGGGGTAAGGATCACTCCTCAGTACGGCCCGGAGGGATCCTTAGTGTGATTTGATAGTAACTCTGCTTGAAAACATGACTTGATTCAAAGGAACAAGACCTTCGGAAAAGTTCAGAGTGTGGCTGAAAAGAAAAAAATAATATTGATGACAATTTTCTAACAGTTTCTGTTCAGCTTCCAAGGAACAATGGCTCTTAAAAATCCGTAAATCTGCTGTCTCTACTTCAGGACAAAAGAACAGGATTACTGATGGGCCAAATTTCTGCGTGGTACACAGCAGAAAAGCTCCACTCTTAAGAATTTTGCCGAGATTCACTGCTACTTTTGCAAAGAATACAGCATTAGGTATATTGATGTGCTATGAAATGCCAAGTTAAAATGCACTACAATTGTTAAAATAAATGACCAAATCCACACAGTATTGACTCAGTACCTTATTTGCTGCCGGTGTTTATCCGCACAAAACCCCAAAACACATTCATCCCGTGGGTTGTTCCATTTATTAACGAGCCTCACATTTTTGCTCGCTCACGCAGACGTGCAAGTACTTCAGAACTGCATTTAGTGAAGAGCAATGATTCAATCTAGCTTAAGTGATAGATCAAGATACTCCAGCTACTGAAATCCAGTAGATGCTATTGAAACCTATACCTGTTATACATGAAGTGTATAATTCTAAGAGTTCTACAGAGCATATTGAAAGCTGGCATAGGATCTCCAGGGGCAACGGTTGCAGAAAACCGTCTCTTACACTGAAGAGCTGCTCTTGCAGGTGGATATGCTATCTTCACAGCTGTATCTAGTTCACAGGAAAGTACTTACATTTCCATTTACCTGTTGAGGTACATATGGACTGTGTACTTATTCTGCAGCTAAGATCATGCAGTAAGATACTCCAAACTTACTAGCACCAGAAGTTTTATTTTTACAAGCAATACAAGAGCAAACGCAAGAAACTTTTTATCCCAAAACCATTGTTCACGCTGTATATTATCACAAGACACCATTTTTAAATTATGAATTTACAAACTAAGGCAATACAAAAGATGCAAGATATTACATAAGAGCACAGAGCGAGGAAGTAAGATTCGAACAATAACTTATGATCAATTAGGAGAAGCGAATTTATTTTAAAAAAATTTATTTTAAAAATATGAATCAAATATTTCTCCAATGTAGCCAGCTAAGTTCAAGAACAATTGTGCAAAGTGAGGCATAATTTTTGTGATCAATAAATTTTTTTTCATTAAAGTAACCATGATAGCAATCATCCATACTTACAGAAATATTTTTTTATTTTAGTAATTTAATAAGGATCCTGATGCTTAGAAACCTTCAGAAAACAGAATTGGAGTTACACATTTACAGGCGTGAAAGAGGACAGAAGTGAATAAAGCAGTACTCTTGCTACTAATAAGGAATTGTAGACCAAGAGTTTTAAAGTGAGTGTTTTCAAAACTGTCTACTTTCAAATGAATTCAGGCCATTAGCTCTGCTCTAATTTCTACAAGGCTTATCCCATGCTGAGAATTTCCTGCAAAATTCAGTTATTGGAAGTTACAAGAAACATCACATGTCATCTGACAGAAGAGATGTCTATACAGGTAACCGCCTATGTTCACATGCAGAGTCCTTTTTTTAAAAAATGGAAATTCTGGCCTGGCTGGGATATCTTGACACACACAGTAGATCCTTGTCAATGGATATTAAAAAGAAATGGGGTCATGCTCTATCACCTAGGAAGGGCTGGTTTAAATCAAGAATGCAAAAGGTTTAATTGTGCAAAATCTTAGTTACAAAACGTCAGTGATTATACACAAGTTAAATGCAAAAATAAAGCATACTAAATAACCCAAGGCACATTTTTCAATGCAGTATATTTATCTCTCTCCTCCGCTATAAGTTCATTTATTCCAGCGTATCAGTGATCTTAGTAACTCATTTAAATGGTCAAAGCTCTCCTGTATTCCTAAGTGCAAAACGTAAATCATCGCTTCAGACCAGTGTTTACCAAAGTCTTCCAACTGCTCAAGATTAACCACATTTTAAAACCTCGTTCGTAAGACATTGATATTCATTTGACAGGCAGGAGCTGAAACGACATCACACAGTCTATAAGCCAGCTGGAGGAGGCCATCCAGACTTTGCCCTGACGAATTTTCTGCGGCTTGAATTTAGAAGACACATCATAGATTACATACTGAGTGCAAAATCTCTGGTCAGAAGTTGATTCTGCATGGTAAGCCACCGTGTTGATTGTCTGCGTCACGTCACTGTCTGGTTTTGGCTGCCTAACCAGAATTTGTCCTCCTGCTGCTTTGACCAACTCGACAAGATCACTCTTCTGGTGATGCTTGAAAGATCCCAAAAAATAGAAGTAGCATCCATCAAACAACTTGGGCAGCTAAGTAGAAAAAAACAGAAAGTATAAATACAGGACTTCACAACTGAGGGAAAAAAAGTGGAAAGGAACAATCAGTGCCTACAAAAAACTGCAATTTAAAATAACCAACACTGGAAGCTAGAACAGTAGCTTAACATGTAAGGTCCTCGGTACAAGTACACAACCAAGAAAAGCTTGCCTACATGGTAAATTCTTGCTTATGTTTAAATATTTCCCAGCACAACAGGGTTTAACTATGAGCTAGGAATATTTACAGCTATTGTTATCACTGTTACAATACATTTAATGAACTTCTCCAGTGTAATCCAGAAAGTAACCAGAAATTAAGGCAGTTAAATATAAAAGTGGCCCTATATGGAAACAAGTAGTACTAAACCCATTTTTCTTTCAACTTGCAGATAATTTCAACTAGGTTCTAAAGCTGAGCAGTGAAGGCCAAAGCAGCATCGCTTCCTGTCCCATTCAGCTTCCTCCACGAATGCAATACAAGCGTTCCCTCGGACAAGGTCACAGCAACATATCCACTAATAGAGGAAGTGACAGCTTTATGGGTGTTCGCAGTTCTTTCGAACACCTTGCACATAATCAAATTTCTGTACAGGACCACATTAAAATTTTACATCTGCTGCACCTGCATATGTGGCAAAGGGCAAAAATGCATGAACCAGAGGTCATTAAGATAATCTGTCTCAAGCAATAAAACCCACCAGCTGTTCTCTGTTGAGCCGGCCTCTTTGTGGGCCACCTTGGATTTCATACTTCTCCTCTTGTTCTCGAACTGTGGTTTCTAGACAGGCTCGTACCCCTACAAAAAACACAATACGGCAAAGATTAGAGACTCCATGTTTCAGGGACTAAAACGTTGCACTAAGAAGGATCACCCACAAAGCAAAACGTTGCATCCGCATAGCATCAAAGCTTGAATGCTTTAGCAATTTGCTCTTAAACTTGAAAAAATTTACAACAGTGGTTGAAGAGGAAAGTTAGATGGGGAGAAGTAATATCACATTGAAGATCAGTGCTGTAAACACTAGGAGTTATTAGCTTTTCCTCCTCTTACCCACTAAAGGTCAACCACTTAATGTCAAATGTCAAATTGCTGATCATTTGGACGCTTAAAGCCAGCATGTAGAACAAACTCCGCAGTTATGAAATGGAAGCAATTGCCTGATAAAGAGCCATTACAAAGCAAGCACAAAGCTGTTTCTGAACAGCTTATGGCCTCAAATAACAAATCAGATGGGATTTCAAGGTCTCCAAGATCAGCACAAACTGGAGATTTATGCTAGGGTTTAACAGTGGCATTCATTTTTGTTACCACTGCTGGATAATGAGATTGTCTTTTAGAGTCAACGTGTTTTTACCTTGTTTTAAGGCTAGTTATTTTTTCCAATACAGAATGCGCTGATGTTAATGTATCACTAACATCAGTTAAACGTACTACCTGACCTCACTTTGGGAAAAGAAATTGCTGTGATCGCGCATTCAAGGATGGAACATTTTGCCTGCACGTACATTGCACTCATTAATAAAAATTACCCAAGAAAGAAAGTTTGCAAAGCTGATTTTGAAAACTGTTCCATGAGGACTTAAAACATTGTCAAGGTTATAACTTTTAAAGCAGTACCTCACTCCTTGCAGAGTGCTTCTTACTCAGGTAATTTATTTCTACTGTACAAATATGAAACCTATGGTATTAAAAAACCACAGAATAAAGAAAATCAGAAGTAAAATGTGGGGGTTGGATCCTAAAAAGGAAGAAAGCCCAAGACTATGAAGAGGAGTATCACTGACAAAGGTACTTGGATACCACGGCAGCCAATAGATAGGAATATCTAATACGGAGAGATCTTGAAAGCCAACTATTAGCAATTTACTACCACTTCATTTAAACTCAGGAAATGGAACAGGAATTCATATTTTATTTACTAGAAGTCCTCCGCAATGTACTTACAGAAAAAAAGATAAGCCTATACAGAAAACAACAACTGCCTGAATACTATGACAATATGCATCTCCCCCCACGTACAAGTATCAGGTTGATACTTGTTGAATACTGATATCTTATTTGCAAAGCACTCATAACTCAAAAATAAATCTAAAAAGTTATTTCAGTATTTTTTATAGAGTTGTGATGATTTAAAAAAAAAAAAAAGACTTCTGTGTCAATTTACCTCTTACACAGCTATTCTTTCCTCCCAAGAAAATACAGATGTTAATGGGTGCCACTTACAATAAAGGAAAAAACATCTCATCTAGTCTTAAGGACAGAACTGTCCATTCACTAAGAGCATGTCTTATTTCAATCTACCATCAAAAGCTCATTTCAAGGACTTTCACTACAGAGCTGAGGTTTTTATACAATGAGTACATCACAAATTGAGCATCTAGTGCCAGCATCAGTAAATGAAGCAAATGTGATAGGAAAGTAATAAAAGGTTGAATGAATACAAAAGACTACAATGTCTTTTTGTACTGCTATTTGCCTGAAAAAAGTCATTAAAGTGACTCATGTTAGTGGAATGTCTATGTTAGAAAATGCAAAATAGGTTATGTCTGTCCATTTTACACTGCCAAGTCATCCAAGGAATCTGTATGCCTCAACGTTCCTTGTAACATGTCAAAGACTGTCACAGGTAATGACAATCCTCCAAGACAGCAAGAAGAGAAACTCAGCCACGTGGTTCTTACAGATATAATGAAAACAGGACACAAGATAAACATCTGTTTCCTTGAAAAACTGAAAAATATGCAAACAGACCATTTGTCTAGCCATGTCTGCATGATCAGCATTCTCATTAATTTTAACTTTTCTTAACCAGCTAGAATCATAACAGATTTGTGGCACAAAAGCTATTATTCCAGACAGGATGAAAAGCCATGAACATAAGTTCTCAGTGCCTTCATGCTTCTCTAACATAAATATGTTAAGAGGCAACACCGTTAGGCCTACACACACACACCTCTTTGTGGAGCAACATTCTGCGTTTTTTGGTGATGGTAGAATAGTACATTTTCAATTCCTGAATGTATTTTTCATGCAAGATGTAGAAGCAGAACTTGCTCTGACTCATGAGTCTTGTCATATTTGATAGATAAGAACAAATTCTTTTTGGAACCATCGTGCTCAGGGACATTTCAAGCAGTCTCGTCTAACACTTTGTCTACGTGCAGGTAGCGAAAGAGGAAAGAAAGTCATCAGAATCCTCAAGCTCAGAAGAGGTGGTGCTTCAGGCTTCAACATACTTCATAGCAATCTTACTATCAACAGCACAACTCGTCTGTAGTAAGACTACCACTTGAAAAGAGACAAGACAACACAGGGTAACAGCCAAAGGAGAGCCTTAGGAACAAGGAAATGAGGCAAACGGCACGGCACGTGTCATCAGACCCATGGTCTAGCTATATATTCCGAAAACTGATGCAGTTAGCAACCGATGTTTGAGGAAGTGTTTACAACCCTAAGGTGAACAGTCAAGGAGTATCTATCCACAGGGGAAGGTTTCCTAACTAGACATAGGAAGCTAAAATAATTTAAATGATAGAGACCAGTATGTCCTTTAACTGCAGACTTTGTTCAGGCTGATTTGTCCCCAAGTTGCTCATTTTTCCTTCAGCAACCCCTGCATACTAGTGAGAGATGTTGTACTAAGAATTAAACGATTCACACACCATAATAAAAAAGAAATCAGCAAAACAAGAGAGGGAAGTATCCCCCTGTTCTCACACTTGAGATAAAAGACAGAAGGCTCAAGTTGTGTTACATTATGCATTTATCTAAAAAGGCTCTTATTTGCCTGTTTTTCTCCCCCCTCTCCACACAAAACTTAGTGTAAAGTCACTTGATTCTGGATCGTTAATTTTGCATTACCATTTTCAGATGCAGTGACTCCAACCAGATGCAACAGTCTAAGCGAGGTTCTCAAAGACAGCATCTTCAGCTTTGCTTGCATTACAGTGTCATTTGGAAGCACCAGGCACGTACAGGCTCTCTCATTCGTCTAAGAGATGGTACAACCACCACGAGATGACCTCATGCTAAAACCCCTCTATCTCACGCTTAAGAGAAGGGATACAAACAGAAGATTAGACGATACTGTAGGCACCCTTCCAACTTTTTCTTTTTTAAAACAGCTAGGGGTTTTATTTTCTGTGACAACTGAGTGCTAAGCTGAGTTCGCTCAGTAAAGCCCAAGTCTTCTTCTTGAGTAGACATTATTAATTTTAAAGCTGCTAACGTGTATAAGTGGCTGGATAACATGACAGTTCCCCTTTAACAGTCTCTCCATCAGACTAAGTGTCATTGTGATTAAGAGGACATATAAAAGGAAATAAAATTCCATACTGTACTCAGATATATCACTCCACTACTTTTATAGGAACATTTCCAGAAGCTCTGTTGATCTTAGAGCACTCCTATTTAAGTCAGAGGTAAAGAGTACCCTTTGACTTCAAACAGGAGCCACATTAAATTGATTCCCAGAACTCCTGAGATTACATACTCTTAATTTGTTCGGCACTGTATAGAAAAGCCACCAGTGAGAACTTGATGCCAAGACACCAGTCAAATGAATGGAATAAAGAAAAAAATGCTATTACCCTAATTAAAAAGTGATCAGGATACCATCAATACTATGCCACCTCCCTTCTGTAATTGAGATGGACACCTTAAGTACTTACACAAAAAAGATTTCTGAACAGGACTGACAATCTCAGAAGGACAAGGACATCCTTAGAGAAGCTCTCTGAAAATGGAGGGGAAAGTAAACACCTGCAATTTTAGGAGGGGGTAGAGATCAGTGTTATGTTGTTTTCCTTCCCACATTCACAATCTGTGCATTCTTTACAGGGAAGCCTGACTAAAAAATCTGGTCTGTTCTGTTCTAAAGCCACTCAACTTACTCAGGATCTCAGCCAATCTTGATTTATTCCTTGGTACTATTGCCAATAAGAGCTGTGGACCTTCTAAGATTTGAGGTTGATCAAGTTTCTTCATTTAACATGTTCTCTTCCCTAAAGAGAAGAGGGTGATTATTGCAACTACTCTTAACAGCCCTCTAGTTTAATCACAGTAGCTGGATTAGTTACCCACAAAAGGGTAAGACTTGTTCCAAGGCAAGGGGCATTTTTCCATTTCACATGGGCCAGAGCTGTTTTGCTATGTCCAGTTCAAGTGTGCAAGCCCACATTAATAAAGTTTGCCCGACAGAAAACCATACTAGGGAAGATTGGATGTGCAGAGGGGTCATGCAAGGTTCTTCCCTAGAAATACAGGGCATTAGAAGTTTAAAAGTCCCTTAAATAGCTGATTTCACACTTGCAATTTGTAGATATAAATAAGATAATTTGCACCAAATTCTAGCAAAAAAAAAAATCAAGCCTGCATTAAGGTCCCTAGAAAATACTACAGAAAAAAGGTTTTAGCTTAATACAACCGCATTTTAGCTTGATGCCACCACATTTGGCAAGGAGAATACTGCTCATTTTTTTCCCCTCATTAGCAAGATCAGTAAAGCATCACTGCTTCTACTGATCCTTATTACTTCACTGAACAGCAGCCCCTACCTTCTTACCTTCCAGTATATAAGGAGGAAGCAGCTTAAAAGGGTGCCCACTCTAATGGTATCGTTAATTGGCATCTGATACAACTGCAGCTACTAGTACTAGAAATAAAGAAATCATTATTTGCAAAATTTAAGATCAGAGCCCTATAATCCTTATTCATGTAAGTCTTATTGGTTTATAATGAAACAAACTGCATCAGCAAAAACAATTTAAATGGGATGCAGTACAAAAGAACTGGTT